GCCAGGATCAGCATCCAGAGCTCTTGGCACAGTGGGATGTTCCTGAATCCCATCCATTCCAGGAGCCAGGACCCTGATTGGAGAGAGGTTTCACCCCATCCATGCAGATGGAGCAACCATGGGACGCTCCAAGCTGGGCAAGACAGAGGCAAGAGCCTCTCCTGCTCGCCCAACAGATCCAAGAATCATGGAACGGTTTGGGTTGAAAGGGATTTGCAGTTCCAAAAGCCCTGCCCTGGGTAGGGACACCTTCCACTATCCCAGGTTGCTCCAAGCCCTGTCCAACCCGGCCTTGGACACTTCCAGGGATCCAGAGGCAGCCACAGCTTCTCTGGAAAGAATCAGGGATCATTTCTCTGGGGTTCTCCAGGTCTGGGATCACTTCCTGGAGGTGCCCAAGCCACCACCCCCCTCTCCTGAGCTCTTTGGCCAGAGAGCCACGGGGAAACCAAGGAACACCACGGTTTATCCTAAGAATTATTTGGAAACAGCTTTCCTAGGCAAGCTGGAGGAAGAGCAACCTGCAGAGCTCCAGGGGATGGTGGAATCCTACCTGGTCCCCCCGGGTTTTGGGGTTCCTGGACTGCAGGCCATGGTGGGTCACCTTAGAGCACCCCTGTGACAGTCCACGTGCACCCTGTGGTCCCTTCCTACTTGGGCTCGTTGCCTGTCCCCAAACACTTTTCCATCCAGGAATGGTGATGATTTTTAAGGAAACGAGCCAAGATCCGAAGATCCCAGGATAAAGCCACCATCCTCCACCCACCCAGCACACGGGTGGATCTCCTACAACCTCAGAGGTCACCGAGAAGGTTCAAACCCTGCCAGGGATCCTCCTCACAGATCCAAAAAAAAAAGGTCTCTGACAGCCCCATGGATGTCCCAGCAGTGCCCTCTGGTGTCTCCAGACACCTCATCTCCCAAAATTGGCCTTTTTCCTACTATAAAAAAAATCATGGGAAGCCCCAGGGATGGAGCTGAGGAGCACCAAGACCCCCAGGGAATGTGGTCCCCTCCCACCTCGGCCAAGCCCCAAGGTCCTTGTTGCCTCCTTGCCTGGATCCATCAAAAACGAGTCCAGGGCTGAAGCTGAGAGCAGGGAGAAGACAATCCAGCGGGAATGGGAGGAAAACAAGGACAGCAGAGCTCTGGATCTGTCCTGGGTCAGCCCCTCGGTGACCCCGAGTTGCTGCAAGTGATCCTTGGTGACATCAGGAGCCACGAGCAGCGCAACTAAATCCTTAAACAACTTGGGGGGGAGGGGGGCAAGTGACGTGTAAACTCCTGGTTTTCCAGCTTGTGGGGAAAAAACCCAGATGAGCTTCAACTCCTCCTGAAAACTCAACCCCAAAATGGACCTTCACGAGGAAAAATGACCCTCAGGGGTGGGAAAAAAAAAAAAATGACCCCTGCGGTCAACTCCTCAAGAACCCCATAACTCCTTCCACCTCCAGCTTCTACCAGCAGTTGGAGGCTTTATCCCACGGGATATTCCTCTCCCATTCCTTACCATCGTAATAAAACCTCACATCCTCGGGAAGGGGCTCATAAAGGGGGGCAAAGTAGGGCCCCTTGTGCTCCAGCTGCGTCCACTTCACCCCATCGTCCTTCTTCTCCTCTTCCCACCTGCAGGAGACACCGAGAGGGACCCGTGAGAACATCCCACACCCCACAGGGACCTCGGGGGGAAGTTGCAGATCCCATAGGATGCTCCAAGTCGGCACAAATTGCAGGGGAAATCCTGTTTTCCCTGGCCCTGCCTCGGTTTTCCTCGTTTGAGACCAGGGAAACTGCAATGGAATTCAGGGAAAGGGGTTTGGAGGAAGGGGGTGGTGATGGGGAATCCAGGGAAAGCGGCTGGTGATGATGGGGAATCCAGGGAAAGCGGCTGGTGATGATGGGGAATCCAGGGAAAGCGGCTGGTGATGATGGGGAATCCAGGGAAAGCGGCTGGTGATGATGGGGAATCCAG